CAGACCGCGCGGGAGTGCCGGAGCGGCGGCCGCTGTGCTGTTTTGCATTAAGACACAGGAAGAGCATCGGTTAGTTTAGGCGGCGTTGTCGTTCTTTGACGGGAGGATGTGTTTTAAGTCTCACACAGGACGCTGGGACGCGTGTCACCCTCGTGCTGCCACTCAAATGCCCGGAGGCCGAGAGTGAGAGAAGTCGTCCGCCACCGGTGTGGGAAACGAGACCGAGCGGTTCGGGAAGGCGCGGGAGTGGCCGGAGCAGTGTGCGGCTTAAAACAAAGCCCGTTTTTCACGGGCTTGAGAAACGGGCGCCGTGGGCGTCCTGCCAGCACGTGCCCTCCCGCTCCGCGGGGGTTCCCACTCTGCAGGTGCTCGCTCGGTGACCGTCCCCTGGTCCTCTCTCCTGCTCCGCTGTGAGCGTCTGTGGTCAGTGGCGTGCCCCCCACGTCCACGCCGGCGTTGGGCAGCGCTGAGGAAGCGCGTGCCGAGTGCATCAGGGCCCGGCTCAGTGAGGAGGGGACCCTGGAGTGCAGGCAGACAGTCACGGAGGTGCAGACTCGAGGGCCAGAGGGGCGAGCCTGCTGGGGGTGGCGAGGTGTGGGGCTCCGCAGAGCCCCCCAGCGTGGGCACTTGCACAACTGAGCTTTGGGGTCGGACTCCGTCGTGGCGTGCTCGCGGCTGCCGGGGTGCGGGCCAGAGGGGAAGCAGGGGCTGCGCCATCTCACCCTCGCTGCCTCCGGCGGGTGCTTCCTGCACAGGCCCCCGCTTCGCAGCAGACTGGACGGATGGACTGGGTGCCGTCCCCACCCCTCGGCCTCCTGGGGGCTCGCCCGGAGCTGAGCGGTCTGTGCAGACGCGCTCCTGCAGGGGGCGCTGTGGCGGCCGAGCGTCGTGGACGGGGTTGTGCCCCATGTCTGTTGTGCTGCTTGTTTTAACGATACAATTTAAATAATTATTATATGAACCAAGGAAAGAAAGACGATGTTTCTGGGAAAACTTAACTTCAGTGCTTTGAAAAGATTTGATAAAAGGGTAATTACTAAAAATGCTGTTGAATTGGACTTGAATAGAAAAGCTGTAAAATTTTAGGGACCAATTATTCTAAAAGAAAAAAGGATGAAAAAGATTCTCAATCAGATGGCTTTACGTGTCTTTTAAGTTCTTGCCTCATTTTTAAAGCAGTTTTCCGTCTGTGGGTCGTGAGGTCAACTTAGTAGGTTGAAAAAGCACTTTAGAAAACCGTGCTAGAACGTAGCGGAGCGCACTGCGTTGGGGAAGTAGCGCCGCTTCCCGCGACTTCCTGGGTTTGTTTGTGTTTGTTCTGTACACGGTGTACCCCGCGAGCTGTGAAGGCGTGGAAAGCTTGGAAGACTGGCTGGAGAAATTGAAACCGGAAATATCAGAGTGTGTACTAGGGGGTGATTTTTATCCAAGGAAGAAGAGGAGACGCAATTAGCGGGCCCAGCCAGAAAGCAGAGGTCGTGGGCCGACATCAGAAGATGGGGAATGAGTGTGTGTTCATGAACTTCGCGTTGCAAGGAAGCATTGGAGGTGTGCGTACTGGTTCCGTGGCGTTTATTTTAGGTTGGCCCTTGGGACCGACGATCCGGCCACAGGTGCGCATCACGGGCCGGGAGTCGTGGCGTGTCTCGTCTCATTTTCCTCCCGCGCCTCCTTGTTTTGTCCCAGTCCCCTGTCCCTGCCCCTCCTTTCTCTGCCACTCGATAACAAGTGTCCTGAAGGCCTGGTCTGGGCCTCAGTCTACTTTCTGCGGGGTAAGATTATGAGTGTGTACTGCCCTCTGGGGTTTCCCAGTGGAAGCAGCCGTCACCTCACACGCCGGCCCCTGAGCTCGCTGTCAGATGGGAGCGGCTGATGTGGATTAATTCCTCCTGAACCGTAAGTGACTGACAGTCCCGCAAACCTCCAGATTTTTTTGTAAGGGTGGCCTTTCAGGTCCTGTTCTATTCGGGTGTTCCAAACAGAGACCTCACGTGGTGGACATCTGAGACTGTGAGCAGGGCCGTCTGTCTGTCAGCTCCCTTCCTTCGGGCCTCGCTGCGCGGCCCCGGGGGCCCGGGGGCCCGGCCGGCTGCTGGGATTTAAAGCCGCCCTCTGGAATGCGCAGCGTGCCTCGGTGAAGGGCGCCGGGAAGGGCGTTTTCTTGGCCTTCGCGTCCTACCGGAGCGAGGCTTCCCGTCACCCTGGCTCGCTGCCCGTCGGGGCTGCTCCCTCCTCCTGCCCGCTCCCCGCTCCTGGAGTGCAGAGGGCGCGTTCTGCAGTGGCGCGCAGGGCTCCTTCTCGGGCGCACGCCAGCCCCCAGAGAGCAGCAGGCCCGCTGTGGGCAGAGCGCCCCTCCTGCACAGGACCCTGGGCCAAGCAGGGGTCCTCGCAGGGGTCCTCGCAGGGGTCCTCGCACCGCTCAGGCCTGGCCTTCGGGACTGACAGCGTCCAGAGTGTCCCTACGGACGGCACGGAGAGGTGGCCGGGAGGGGCAGAGGTGCTCTGCACGTGCAGGCAGTGCGTGTAAGGCGCCGTGAGGCCGACGGGGAGGGGAGGAGACACGGATGGGCGTCTCCTGTGTTCCAGCCACTCGTCATCGCCCCCGTCTCTCCCCGTCACGGGCCGAGCTTGTGTCGCCCCGTGCGTTCTGCCGTCAACCTCCCCGGAGACTTGTCTCCTGCTCCACGCTCGAGCCTTGCTTGCTCTGATACAGAGCATTATGAATTGTGATCGAATGCAGTTGCTGCTCCTGGAGGCTCTCCCATGTCTGTCTCATGCCTCGAGGTGTCCCCGGCACAGCCTCCCCGGGCGGCCGGAGCGCACTCGTCCTGATGGCCGCCTCGTGAGAGAGGCGCCCTCGTGGCCCGATGAGGAGGTCAGGGGTGAGAGGGCAGGAGCTGAGGCCTCTCGGCCCCAGATGGCAGCGCTGCGTCTCTCCCCTCGCCCTGTCCCGGTAGGGGGTGACTCTGTACTGGAGAAGCGAGCGGCGTGGGCGGAGTGCCGGTCTGGAAGTCGAGGCGCAAGTCTTCCATGCTGTTTTTGACTTGCAGGGAAATCTTTTCAAAATCCTGTATGAAAGTCTTGTCTTTCATTTTCTCACATGCATGTCAAGTTCAGTTTCAACCTTGTGTTGGCAAAAGTGACACATTTTTAGAAATCAGACACGTGGTGTGCTCAGACTGGTTCAAAATCAAAGCAGTCATTAATGGGATAATACCCCTGGGAATGCGCCTCCGTCTGCTGCGTGCGTCTGTGGATCGCACACACTTGACTTTTAAACACAGACCCTCGTCGCCGGTTGCTGGTCTCCTCGCCACACGCCACGCTGAACGCGGGCTGTGCGGGTCCTGCCTCATCCGAGGCCCCGTCCCCGCGCCCGCTGAGCCCCTCCGCCCGCAGCGCGTGCGTCAGGTGTGGGGCCCCGGGTGCAGGCTCTCGTGGCGGCCGGGCCCGCTCTCCGCTCCGGCTCTCCGGTCCGACCGTGTCACTCGTGTGACACTGGGTCCGGGGCCCCAGCCCTCTGCAGCTCGGTGTCCTCGTTTTCTTGTTTTCTGTCCTCGCCCGAGGAGGACACTTTCACAGAAGGATGCGTCCATTGGTCTTAGGGAGGGAGGACTCGGGGGCCGGGGAGAGACAGACAGACGTCAGCGTGAAGGAGAAACGGGGATCCGTTTCCTTCTGTGCTCGCCCCACCCGGGGGTCGGACCCACAACCCCGGCGTGTGCCTGGACCGAGGATCGAACCCACAACCTTTGGTGCTTAGGGTGATGCTCCAGTCGGCTGAGCCACACCGGCCAGGGCACAGTTTCCTTATTTTTAAAAGAAGTAATGATGTGTACTTCATGTGGTTTTATACATCTTCTGAACCACCCATAGTGATTCGAGTGGGATGTGGTCATGTTGGGATTGATGTTCTACCTTGTAAATTCAGTTAAAATTGAGTAGATGTAGTGTTTAGTAGGGCTTTATATGTACACTCATGTACTCATATATGTTCACATCTGTTACGTAGGGTTTACTTGAAATACCGAGTCATCCCAGAGTTCGCATGGCCCACGTTCTGATGGCTGTGGTGAGGCGCCGGCTGCCTTGCCCCTCAGGCTGAGGGGTGGGGGGGCTCCCGCACACCCCGCGCGGCGGCTCAGCCAGCCTCGTCCGTCCTCGCCTGTGGGGGGAAAAGAGGGGTGCCCGGGACTGCCCCCTCCCGAGGCAGTTTTGTGGGTCCCGCCCTGCCCCTGGGCCGGTGCCGTGGCCTTGTGGTGGGGGGCGCCTTCCCCTGCGTCGCTGTCAGATTTGGAAGCGCCCCCGTCGGCGGGCCAGCGCCGCCTGCGCCCCGCGCCCCGCGCCCCGCGCCCCGCTCCCACCTTGCTCATTGTTTCCCGGGACTGTTTGGGCTGTGTGGAGAGGTCCTCGCAAATCCCCTTGTTCCCGAAGTCATCGTTGCCAGCAGGGGTAAGATGAAAGGTGCTTAAGTCTGTAGCGTTGTCTCTAATTTGTACGTGTCATTTCAGCGGCATTTTAACAGAACTCCGTCTCCTGTCCCTCCCCTCCCTCCGCCACACTATCACAAGTTAGGGCCGAGAAGCCAGGCCATTGGCAGAAATCTCATTTTATCCTTCTAATTATTATGCTGGCACTCAGGAGATAATTTCTTTCTTCATGCACTGCCAATTAATATGCAAATGGACTGATAAATATTTATGCAATGATTTAAATTATGCAGGGAGTGCTTTCAGTGTATTCTGTAAATGAATTGTTCGTGGACTTCAAAGTGCTGGCTGCTGTGCTAACGAGGAGAGATTTGCATAGGGCCCTAATCACGCGCATACTGATTAAGCTTCATTATGGAAACTGCCAGCTGCAATCTTTGTTTCTATTTTATTACAAAAAGGGGAACTTTTCATGCTTCAGTTGCCTTGACAATGTCAGTCCTCGCTGGTAGGAGAGACTAAAACTCCTCTGAGCAACCGAAGTTCCCGTATTCGGTTGAAGATGGCTGTGGTGTGACTGAAGTAGTTGCTTCTCCCCCATCCACTTCCCACCTCCCACTCTCATGCTCTCAGATTTGTTAGAAACAGTGGTACCTTCTGACCCCACCCAAACCGCCACCTGTTTCTTCCCGCCTTGGACTGTGTGAACCTAGAAGACTCACGGCAATGCTGGACTGCGGTGCCTTTGCTCTAGGTGGGTAGGTGGGCGCCGCACGGCCCTCCCCGGCGGGCCGTGGGGTGGAACCTGCGGCCCTGCAGTTGGCTGTGCGGAAACACCCACTGGCACAGGCCACTGCGGGGGAGGGGGGTGGATGGGGGGGCGGGGGGCGCATTTGCAAAGCACCGGTCCCTCCCCACCGCCGGCTCTTCTGGTTTGGAGGATGTTAGCAGTAAATAGTGTGGATTTAGAATTCAACTGGAATGGAGATTTTTGCTTTTTCTTTTTTTTGGAAATTTCTTTTGAGAGCATTTCATATAGTTCTGAAAGCTCTAGCTCTGAAACAAGGTCTGAAATGTATCTAAATAATATGTATATTAATAAAAATGTTTTGCATACTTGGCTCGAATGTCATATAAAACCGAGGGCCTGGTGGGAGTGAGGAGCCCAGTGCAGGATGGTCCCGGCAGCGCCGGCCTGGGCGGCCGTCCCGGGCAATGCCACCAGGCGGAGGGTCGAGCTCCAGACCCTGGAGGCAGGACTTTCTGAATTTGACTGATATGAGCCTTTTCCTTTTTCAAAAATTAACTTCTCTTCTTCTCCGGGAAAACCATTCTAAGTCCTAGGAAGACTGTCTTCAGGGTTTTTCTTACTGAACAACAGGCCTGTTGGGGGGAGGACTGTCTGGCTGGGCTGTGTAAACTGTCTTTGCTAACTACGCTTTAAGCTACACTGAGCCACGTTGGTTTTAGACAGAGGGTGGCTCGTGGCGGCTGTAGTTTGTGTCGAGGTCCGTCTGTCACAAGCAGAGCAGTGGCCCCTTCGGCTAGTCTGGCCACCGGGAGAGTCAGCTGGGTGGTGGGAGCGCCAGCACTTCACTGTCTTTCAAACCTTCGCAAACGACTTCTTCCTGCATGCCGTCTTTCCCATGCGAGAAGTCGAGGCTGTCCCCGTCACCTGCGCAGTTGCTGAGGCCGGACCCGAACGATGACTCCGACTCTGACAGCGTCTGCAGCCGTGGGGAGGAGGCGTGGCCTGCGCCCAGGGTGGCGGCAGGTCTGCGCCGCGTGAAGGCGAGTGAGCGGACCAGCAAGCCGGCGCCAGGCCCCGGCCCAGGGGCAGCGGGCCGAGTGCGTCTCGGGCGCGTCTCACCGCCAGTCCGGGGCGTCCGGAGCCGTCACGGCAGACACCGTCGTGTCTGTGTGCTCGTACATCTACTGCGTTGGGAACTCGAGGGAGGAAAGGGAAATACCGTTTTGAAACACTTTTAGTGTTATATTTTATAATCAGAAATTATTTCTATTTTTTAGGTAACAATGAGTGTTTAAACAGCCTTCCCATAGTTGTACAGGTAATCGGAATTTTATTTGTTATTTTGTACGTGAAGTAATTTTGTCAGATGTTTTGAAGCTCTTGACAGTTCGCTAGAAAGTCCTTAGAAGACTCGTACAGGATACCTGTGACACAATCCTGAATGCATGAGTGTGAACATTAGGGTGTGAATTGTACACGGCTAGGTTCACGACTTAGTAGGAATTCTGCCTGCTTCATTTCATACGTGCAGAAAACTGCCATCTTCTTCAGTGGGCGTCGGCCGGTCCGCCCTGTCCCCGCTGTGCTGTGAACCCCGTCTGAGGAGGCGGCACCTTCCGCTGTGCCTGCCGCCGTCGTCGCTGACTTCCACGAGGTCTGGTTACGTCATTCAGAAAGCTGATTCTCACTAAGCCGTACACCTGCTTCTTTCAAACCTCGGTGTGCTCTCCGAGGAGATTTGCATTGTTCTGGACAGCGTGGGGAAGGAAGTTGCAGAGCAACCCTCAGTCGTGACCGAAGCCGGGAGAGTCCGAGCCCTGTGGACCCCTGAAGAGCAAACCAGACCGTGGCAGAGCCACGCAAGCCCCCGGGCTGGCCTCCGTCTGACGGGCCGTGTCGGTGGCGGGCCCACGGCCTCCGGACGGGCGCGCAGTTCGCAGAGGGGGCTGCCTTCCGAAGCACTCCCGTCCCTCGTGTGCGGGATGATGCCGCTGCGACAGCGTGGGCGGGACTCCGGCGATCGTTTTGATTCCCCGTTTAAACATTAATCAGATGACAGAAGGTGTTCTTCGGTCAAAAGACCAAATACAACACAGTTCAAGTGTTTGTTCTCTGCTGACCAGTGGTCCAGTGGCTCCTCGCCTGGTGGGAAGGGGCAGGCGGGCCGGAGAGCAGACTCGGCCGCGTCACAGGCCAGCGCGCCGAGCCGGGCCTGCGGGGGCCGGACGGAGGTGTGCGTGTAACGTGCGCTGCGTGCTCACCCTCGGGGCGGGGGGGCAGGAGACAGGCAGGCCCGCGCCCGCCTGTGGCCTGCCTTCTGGGGCACCCAACATTGCTCGGTAAACACTTCTGACTGTGGACGTCTCCGTGACACAGACACCCCGAGAGACAGGAGCCCCGCCGGCAGGCTCACCTGGGACACGAGGGCAGCACCGCTCGTGAGCGGGTGCGGCCGTGTGTGGCCGCCTCTGGGTCTCGGCAGCACTAGCTGTGTGCGCCACGCTCTGTGCCGCAGCTCGTACCCTCTGTGACGGGCCGTGAGCCTGGCGCACCGCTGGGACGCGTGCGGACTCGTTCCGCGGCTGTGCCGTGTGCCCTGCGCCCTCGGCCGAGCGTGCCGTGCCGTCTGCTGCCAGGGCTGCCGGAGGGCTGTTCCGGCGTGGTCGACAAACTCTCTGCCCGTGGGAGGAGAAGCTTTGTGTGGTGATGACGTGTTTTCCTTCGTGGGGGTTTTGTTCCTTTAGCGTATTCTCTGTTTATGTTATAAAGCACCCACTCCCTCTGTGCATCAGACACTGTTACAGACTTTTTAGGTTAGATTTCTGCCGTCCTCCTCGGAGGGTCTTAGCATGAATTAGACTGCGCGCGAGTGGGTCCCTTCAGGCTCGGGGACTCGCCACCCCCCGGCGTTTCCGTGCCGACTCTGCCCCTCACTCAGCCGGCGGGGCTGTGACACCCGTCGGTTTTCTCAGACCTTTCCTCGGCCGCATCCTCAGTTTTCAAAAACTCTGTTCTTCTCTGGTTTGTTGCAGACTCGAGAATGAACAACCCGTCAGAAAACGGCAAAGCGTCTCTGGAGAGCGGGGACAGCAGCACAGGTAAGACGCCCCTCCGGCACACCCTTCCCTGGAGGCGGCGCGGGAAGGGGGTGCTTGCCGCCGGCCGGGCTGGGCGGCACGTGCGCGCAGGCCCGGTGGGGCGCTGGGTGGCGGGACGAGCGTCCGTGCTGCGGGGCTGGGCTGTCTCTGCCCACGGCGCCCGCCCTCCCTGCAGACGCCTGTCTTCCGGCCGCCGCTGGTCAGCGAAGGCGGAGCAGCGCTCAGGGCCTTGTCCTGGGGGCGGGGGGGTGGGGGGGGGCAGGTCTGGGGAGAAGGATGGCGGCGCTGCTCACGAGCCGTGGGGTGCCGGGCAGCCCCCAGTCGGTCTGTCTGAGCTCGTTCGCGCAGCCGTGCGGCCGGGCAGCGTGTTCCCGGGGTCGCCGTGAGCGCCGAGGAGGAAGCGTTAGGCGTGTGCGCGCCGCACGCTGACCGGTTGGGAAAGTTGCCCTTGCTGTGGTGTGGCCGGAACAGCGACCCTTGCCACGCACACTCCGAGGGAGTCACGCCGACGCCGCCGTGGTGTCTGCGCCGGGTTAGAGCCCTGTCTCTCACACGCCCGACTCCGGGCGCTTTTCCATACACAGTGACACTTGGTTCGACCCTCTCCCGGGAGGGAGCTGGCAAGTAAACGGGGAAACCGGCTTCCCAGGAGAGGCGGGCTCAGTCCCCGAGGGCAGAGCGAGCCCGAGGCCCACGTTCATCACTGCGCGCGGGGCTCAGAGGCCGCGGGACCCGGTGTCGGCCGGCGGGAGCAGCTCCGGGTGCGGCAGTAGCCAGAGTGCTCAGCGGCGGGGCAGGGCAGAGAGACACAGAGACGGGCAGTTTCTGAAGTCGGCCAGGCTGCCCAGGTGCAGGGGCTGGGGCCTCGGCGCCTGTCGCTCCAGCAGGCCCGACTCCAGGGGCGGGAGGGAGAGCCACTCGGAAGCTGGTCTCCGCACCACCAGCCATGCAGCCCCCAGTTGGGAGCAGACCGGTCGAGCCGGGGCAGCGGCTTGCAGCCTGCACGGCTTTCGTCCCAGACTGCCCCGGGCCGGGGCACTCGCTAGTCCCTCCGTCTCCGGAGGATGCCTGTCCCTCTCGGTGACACTCCCGTGCCCCTCCTGAGCGGGGAAGGGCCACGTGCTGGCGTCTGAACTGTTGGCAGCCGCCTCCTTTCTGTCGCTTCTCGGTCCCGCTTGGGCCCCGTCTTTCGTGGTTGTGTGGCTCGGGGTCTGGCCACCCAGCCTCGGGGTGGGCCTTGTTCGCAGACAGAGGCTGGCCAGTGGGTCCCAGTAGGATGCCCAGGGAGAGAGGGCAGCGCCCCGGGCCTAAAAGGCACCTGCAAAGAGGAGATTCGCACACCTAAAGGACAAGGAATGCTCTCGGAGGGACAGGAGGACGCCACAAAGGCGCACTGCCGCGGCCCCAGGGCTCCGCCCACTTCCGGGGCCCCTCCCACACCGAGGGGCCCTCTCAGCGTGCACTCGTCCCACGCTCCCTATGCTCCCTGTGCTCTCGGGTCGCAGGGCACCTCTGTGCCCGCCCTGCCAGCGAGGCATCAGGATTCCAGGAACTGGGACATTGGGGCCCGAGCCAGCCAGGACGTGGAGGCAGGGCCAGGAGGGGCCCCCTGCCCGGGGTTTCTCCTTGAACTGCGATGAAATGAGACTGCACATTCTGGCCGGAGCCCCTGCCGGTGCCGTCTCATGAGTTCCTTGGCCTGTTTCCACGTGAGACGCGTGGCGGAGCCACTCCCACCACAGAGCTCGGGGTGTCCCTTCAGGAGCCTCCCTGTCGCCGTCTCTGGAGCCCGGTCTCCGGCTAGGGACGGCGTGCTCTGGAACGAGGCTTCCCGGCCCCAGCACTGGCGGGGCGGGGTGGGGCAGGGTGTCCGAGGTGTCCGCCCCCCACCGGCGTGGAAACATGTGCTGCTTCTCTGCCAGCTGCCGGCAGTGCGAGGGCCTGGAGAAGCGCCGTCCTCACTGTGGGACGCAGCGACGCACGCCGTCTGCGCACCGCGGCTCGAGCGGCCTCCGTAAATTCTAGACGCTCCCCTGCTGGGGGCCTCTGCGCACCCCGAGAGTAGCTGGCACCTCCGTGCCCGTTTCTCGGCTGTCCTTAGCGTCTCCCGTTGACGCCACTTTAGTAGCTCAGGACATCAGAATCCGTCTGGGTTCCAGTTTCTGCATTAAATTACCATTTGGCATATCAGGTGTGAAATTACTCAGGTATTACAAATTGACTTATTTAAAACTATAACAAGCAGGCCTGCAGATTGTTTTACTGTAAAGAATATGTTAATATTTTTGTATAGACTACTGCAATTTTAAACATTTCTGGAGAAATAATTTTGATTTTTGGTACTTTAAGGAGAACGATATTGTGAAATCAGTGAAAACTGTGTTGTTACTTGGTCGTCTGCCGCGTGGGGTTGTTGGTGCACGTGTTTAGAGGGCGCTTGTCCCGTGTGCCACGTGGTGGACTTGTGTCGTCAGAGACGCCGTCAGTCTCTGGAGAGCCAGCGGTCACGGGGAGCCGGGACGGACCGAGGTGGCGGGGTCGGGGCGGCCGGGGCGGCGCGTCTTTGAGGCAGGGCGTGTTTGTGGGCGGGGAGGAAGGAAGCAGGGAGCCGGAGGCTGAAGGAGGAGAGACAGCGGGTGCAGCCAGCGTGGGCTGGGGGCTGGGGTCAGAGGTGTGGAGCGGGGGCTGGGGTCAGAGGTGCAGAGCGGGGGCTGGCTCTGACGTGCACGGAGACCGGCCTGCTCTCTCAAACTGGGGAGAGGACGGGGAGATGAGCCGAGGAGAGAAGGCCCAGGAGGGAGGGGGCAGGAGGGTGGGGACTGGCTCACACGTTAGATTTCCTCCTCATCCCCTCGGCCCCTCGGGTCGCTGGGGGCCGTCTGCAGGGAAGGCAGGGGGCCAGTCCTGAGCAGGGCGGCCCTTCCTGCTCGCGGGAGTCTGTGGCCGCGCGTGGCTGGCGCTTCGTGACGCGCACCACACACCGAGCACCGCGGCTGTTCCAGCTCCCACGAGGGAAGCACCGTCCCGCGTCTCACCGACAAGGGCCGTGGACCAGACGTGTTCTCGCTCGGGAGTGGGGAGGCGCGGCCTCTCCTGCGCGATGGCTGCACGCTGCCTGGGGCCGGGCGGGCGTGGGGCGGGGGAGGGGGAACGCGTTTGGACGCTGCTGCTTTTCAGGGCCGGACCGGAGTGGACACCGAGACGGGCAAAGACGCGAGCTGAGGGCCAGGCGCGGACGGAAGGAGGGAGGTGCCGCCCGCCTCGCCCGCCTGGTTAGACGGCCCCCCGGGGCGGGAGGGAGCGCAGCGGGAGACCCGAGTGTTTGCCAGATCAGTGTCCTCTCAACAGGTGCCCCGTCGGGGAAGGGGATGGCGGTGACGTCGCTCATAAGGTCGTCGTCCTTTGGACGAGGCCTCGGCCCTGGGGGGCGGCGACACCCTGTCTCCCTTCCCCGCCACGTGTGGTGGTGTCCCGGCCGCTGGCTGTCTCTGCGCCCGCCTGTTCCGGGTGTTTTGTGCGAGTGGGTCATGTGGGACTTGTCTCTGTGGCTGACTTGTTTCACTTAGCATAACAGGGTCAAGGTCGTTTGTGTTGCAGCACGTGTGGCCGGATAGCATTCCGCGGGATGCCGAGACCGCGTTTTGTTTGTCCGTTCGTCTGCGGGTGGGGATGCTGGCTTCCGCCGCCCGCCTCGGAGAACGGCGCTGCGGCGAGCGCCGCCGCCCAGGCGTCCTAGTCCCTCCCCTCGCCTGCGGGCTGCAGGGCTGCCAGAGAAGCTTCTGGGTAGACAGCGCAGCTTTGTCACCATGCAGTCCTGGAGGTCGGAATCCCGACGCTGAGGCTTTGGAAGCGCTGTGTTCCTTCTGGAGGCTCTTTGGAGAAGCTGTCTCCTTCCCTTTTCTGGTTTCTGCATTCCTGGGTGTGCGGCCTCTTTCTTCATCTTCCAAGACAGAAGTGCCGCATCTTCAAGGCTCCCTCTCTCTGGCCCTGCGTCCGTGACCACGAGTTCTCTGCCCCTCCCGCCCCCTTCCCCTCACAAGGACCGCTGTGATTACCTGGGACCCCCCAGACATCTCCCGCCTCCCCCGCCCCCTCACAAGGACCCCCGCCCCCTCACAAGGACCGCTGTGGTGGCATTGGACCCCCCAGACACTGGAGAAGGGCCTCCCGTCTGCAGACCTCAGCGCAGCCGGGGTCGCAGCGTCCTTTACGCCGCCCTGCGGGGGCTGCTCCACAGCGTCCAGGGGTCCAGGGAGTGGGTCTGGCGCCCTCACGCAGCCTCAGAGTGAGGCCCCCCCGGTGCTTCAGGTTTCAGGGCGGCCCTTGCCACTGCCATCGCCTGTTAGTGTTAGTTATTTTATAATTGATGAGGGAGAAAGTGACATTAAATTTAAAATTTTGAATATGAAATATGTTTTCTGACAATTGTTTAGAAACGTTAAAACTTAAGGTAACTGACTCACCTGTTGACTCACTGAGTTTGTACTAAATGAAATGTAAGTCTTTTTTCACCTGAATTATGATAGCGTAAGGCTCTGCTGTTCACTTGATTTTTCGTTCAGGTTGTTTTTGTCCCCAGAATAACATCAAGGTCTTTTTGGCAACTGAAAAGGCCAAAAGCATTTAGTAACACAACGTAATATGCATATTTATGAGATACACTCAGAAGTCATCATCGTCAGGAGGTCCTGGCAGCCGGTGATGAGGGGCTCCGTGGGGTTTATCCGTGCCACGGTCAGGCCTCCTTGTCTCCGGGCGAGAGGGGCCCGGCAAGACCGGCCACGGCGCGTGTCGCCGCGCGCCCTCCGAGCAGCCGGGGCGTCCCGTCCCGGCGTCCCCGCCAGCACCGGGCCTGGGGCTGTTTCCGGTCAAGCGCCGGTGTTTGTGGGAGAGGCACCGAAATGCAACGCACTGGGGAGTAGACCCCACACCACGTTCTCACCGAAACGGGAGCGACCCAGGTTTTAGGCTCAGAAGGGCCGCTTCCCCTTGAACTTGTG